AATCTGAATTCATACCAGTTGACTTAACGATCGCAAAACCTACGCTCCTTTTTCAATCTCTTATTTATTTCAAACTTTGAGGGTGCGAAGACTGTATTCAAAGTCAAATTTCAAAAGACAGTATAGAAATATTTAATATCTATATCTTAGGCACCTTTCATATTGGTCGTTATTTTGGACACTTTAATTATCTTTAATTTAATAGAGACGACAGCGATTTTTGTATTCGTAAGAAGATTTCATTGATTTTCTCTTAAAAGAAATGAATGTAATGTATTAATGATCACTGCATCTAATTTGAATAAAAGTATATATATTTAGACATAAACCTATCACAATTAAATCGTTCCTGAAGATTAATGTATGTTTAAAACGTATGCCATATTTCAATATGTTCATATGTTTTGCGGGATAGGGTAAACTGTCATGTTATTAATTAGTTTTCTCCTTGACTTACAATAGCTTAAAGTTATATTTTAATATTGAATTGAAAAATTGATTCTTAATGCGCTTTCATATTTATGTCTCCCAATAGAGATAGTTCTATATTTTTTACAAATATATACTCGATAAATACCTCATGGTGTCATAGTGTCGTAATTAAACTGTAATTTGCTATTATAAGCTGACATCGAAAACTAATGACAAGAGTTGTCGTACCTGATAAATGACATTATTGGACATGGCATATATCATTATTTATTTTCATCGTAGTATGTTGGTTAACATAATTAGCAGATGTAAATCATATTTCGGTAAATGAAATTACGACGAAAGAAAATGAATGTATTATATATGAGTGATTGCAAAAGTAGGTAATAAGAAAAACAAAGAGGAAAACTGGGTTAACTTATTTCACCTCAAATTCTTAACTGAATTCTCTCAATGTATTACGTTGTTAGGTCTGTTTCATAGGTTTTTGCTGTTGTTGTTGCTGTTATTGTTTCTGTGTTTTTGTGGAATGTTTTCCGTTATTGGACGCTGTAGAGAGGTCCGGTTGTTGTTAATGTTGTTTCTTTTCTTTTTTCAATAACATCGTTTTGAGTTTTGTGTTTGTAATTTTTATATTTCATTAATTTTATTTTTATTATTATGGTTATATTATTCTGTAACATATGTTTAAGAGTCTGATATCTAAGGCTAAGCATGTGCTTAACAACAAATTCGTTAATATCTTTCATGCTTCTTTTTGTTAAGGGACCGTATCTCTATATCCTAGTTATGTGAATTTATTAGACCGTCTTAGACCGTTTCCGTGAAGGACTTTACATTGTTCAACAAAAGTATAAAAATATATATATTATTTTAAACGAAAGCACACTCCCCACATGTTAAATATTCATATCTAACATCCAGCGCTTTTTATTTTACTATTCACTCGATATTCTTTTCAAAGTTTCTTTTACTACAAAAAACGTCTATATGAGATTTCATCTAAAAGCTAGCTAAGTGGTCTCTCCCACGCTCAGCAAAAAGAAAAGAAACAAGAAATAAATAATGTATATATTTAATTTTTGTTCTAAAAATAGGTTCAGGATATTGTTGTTTGTATTTATCATTAAATTGTCAGCTTCTAATTTATTTATAGATCTGTAATGAGTTATTACTGTACTTTGAAAATAAAATGGCTGAAAACTTGTCGGTAGTTTGTGCCAAAAACGAAGTATATATATATATCATAGACCCGTTATTGTTGTTTTTTTCACACATGATTCAAGCTTTAGTCATTGAACGAGGTATTAATATTTTTAAAAAGACAACAACAACAACACAACGGTAATTCGGTCGGTGACGAGAGTAATTCAGAGTTCAATATACGTAAAAAGGAAACACTTTATATACCCAATATAAATCGGCTTTTTATACAAATGTATCTTTAATAACCGAATATATTAGTGATGTAAACTTGCAAATGTTTGTCAGTGTTTGAGGGATAAACGTATTCTGACACGACTTACTGTGAAATACAGGATAGCCTAAGAATGAATATAAAGATCGTTAAATTTTGTTGTGAAAGACAGGGGAAGAGCATTTTCTCATTTTAAATAAATTGTTAATGCTATCTAAACTTTTATTTTCGCTCTTAAGTAGGCTATTTTCATTTACTCAACGACAGGCGAGTATCTATATATAACTGGGCGTTCCAGAATTGTGTAAAATATAATCTGTTCATTAAAAATAGCGTTTATTTTAGCTTTGAAATTTAGTACACGTAATATATACAGACGTTTTCTTAGCTTTCGACATATTTCCCCTGTATATTATAATATTTCTGACCTGCGTATTTGCTAAAAATGATAATATCCTTTTCAAGTACATTGTAAATCAATTTTACAATAGAAGGGTAGAAATTCATAAAACAACTCGACGATCGTAAAATGTATGTGCATCGCCATGGTCTCGAGAAAGTCTGTGGCCCATATTCGCTAAGTGCATCGCCATGGGTTCGAGAAAGCGGCTTGGTCATGGTCCATATTCTCCTAAAACTAGGCTAAGAGATAGGAAAAAAGACGAGTCAGTTTAAACTGAACTATAACCCTATACATCTATGACCCAGGTTAATGCACTATGTATATCAGTTTAAAATTAGTAATTTGATGACGTGTTTCTTTATACTTTATTCATTCTAATGATACTATAATTATACAGCTGAATGGGAAACAGAATGAAAACTGATTTTTAATTCGATTTATGAAAGAAACCTAGACGCAGATTGAATTTTAATTCTATTTAGTTGAGAAAATACACAAATTGAATTTATTCATATTAGGGATACAATAAACTCTTCGCATACTGATATATTTTATTACATGGAAGCATGTGTTACATGACATCAGATTTGTTACAGTAAAACCAAGGTTGTTACAACCTTCTTCCGAACTTAAGAAAATATAGAGTGTGAACATTGGCATATAGAAAATGCCAGTGATGAAATGTAATTTATCTGCCAATTAATCTTAAAAACAGTTTTGAGTAAAATAAAAACTGTTCTTTAATTGTTGGTAAATCAATAATTACAAAAAAAAAAACATTTAAACTATAATTATGAGTAGAAAGTTATATTGGTAGTCTGGCTGCTGACTGTTATCATTATAATAATTGTGTTTTGATGAAAAGCATACCAATGTAACTAAATTGTAAGAACTGATTTTTGTTGTGACGAAGTGAGTGATGCATGCGCAAAATTATATCACTTTATTTGCTTGACATAAGAAGCGGAACATTTTGCTACCGAACGTTTTCCTATATATGAGCCGCGCCATGACAAAACCAACAAAATGAGTTTGCGACCAGCATGGATCCCGGACCAGCCTGAGCATCCGTGCAGTCTGATCTGGGTCCATGCTGTTCGCTATCAATTTCTCTACTTGTAATAGGGTTTGTTAGCGAACAGCATGGATCCTGATCAGACTGTGCGGATGCGCAGGCTGGTCTGGATCCATGCTGGTCGAAAACCCATTATGTTGGTTTTGTCGTGACGCGGCTCATATGAAAGTCATGTGCGTTAAAAAATCTGATATATTTTTAACTTTTTGTTGTTGTTAAATTTTTCTTCTGATACTAGCATTAGAAGTTGAATATTACCTGAAAGTTTTTAAAATGATCGTTAGTTTATTTCTCAAATTGTAGGTTTACACTATTTTAATACAATCTATTATTCATGCAGCCTAAATCAAGACTTTTCTTTAAACCATGTAATTGGCGAAAAATAAAAAAATAAACTTTTTTTCTCTGATACAGAATAGATATTGACGTTTTCATTTTAACAAATCGCTTTAATTAAGCCGTTTTTTCTTTATAACAAGTTGTAGATTTAACAAAAAATAGATAAATCCGTTTTCCCTGATACACATTAAACATTTATATTATATCTAATCGTTAATGTCTGTGTATTCTATACATTATTTCTATACATTAAAGCAAAAAAGCATTATATCAAATAACTGAATACCGTATTCTATTGTAATAAAAGTCAAAGAATTAGTTATACATAATTGCAAGGTCAATATTAGTCCAATTTGTTAAGGAGCATAAAGTTTGAACTATAAATTACACGGTACAAAAGGTTTAAGTGTAAGCAAAGTATTATACAAAAATAGAGAATGTTTTAATATTTTCGTAAGTTTAAAACCAAACTTTTCAATTGTGTTGTAAATACGTCTATTTCTAATTTTACCCCGTTTTCTCTAGAAGGTCATGTCGACATCTTTTTGTTGATACCATCTATATAATGATATATTGTGAACTATGGGGTTGTTACCTTAGTAATATTATCTTATTTATTTTTACTGTTTCTTTGGGATCATTGTTATCAGTACTTTATTGGGTAGAAGATTGAATACTAAATAAGCCGGTGCTAGGGGGAGGGGTGAAAGAGAAGATGTTGCTCGTTTGCGCTTTCCATTATCTTCCATGAAAAGACTCAGTCAAATGGGGTCTGCCGTTTTCACTTTCAAAACATTTGTTTCCGAGGAAACTTTTCACAAGTCTTAACAAAATCTTTATTGAATAAAAAAACAATTTGAAGCACCATTTCCACTTTTCATTCATTCAAAATTTATCATGAAATAAATTTGCCGTACTGTAGATTATTAAGTTCATTTGATGCTGAAAAGATTGTGTCTAAAAATTCTGTATTCTGGAAATACTTTTCAAATACTAGTATTGTAAATAATTTTATCAATGTATTTCTTATTTAAAAACATCCGTTTACAATTCATTACAATTACATTTACGGTATCTATATATTTCGCCAGTAAAATCCTTTTTATTTAATTGCTATTCAAAGTTTATGATTCTGATATATATAACATATGTGGAGAATGTGATTGTTACATGTGGAGAATTATTACTATCCGTTTCAGAAAGTTTGCACCGATAATATAAGACTAAACACAGAGTATCAATATCATTATGTAACTGTATTCATTTGAAACCAAATAACCATCTGTTAAAAATAAATTGATTGTGAAGTAAACATTATATTTGATACATTTCAGGAGGCGTAAGTGTCATTTTACAATAAGAAGTGACGAAGACAGCCGCATGTATGCCGTAACAGCATCGACACAAATGTTCTACATTTAAATGAGACTGCGTGTGCCATAGCTCTGGAGTATGCAACAGTTGACAACATTTGAAAACAATTAAAGGTCTCGTTGAAACAAAAAATCGTGTGTAAACTAGAAAACTAGAGCAATCAAAGCTTATATAACGACCGAATTTATAGATCTTCGGACGTATGCTAAATATTCTTCAGTCTCATGCCGTATCATCATCATTATACAAGCTGAACACACATATACAAGTACGGTAAACTGGACCTGGTATTCTCATCATAGGCGATGCTTACTCATTTTCTGGCATGGCACATATAGTTTTGGAGAAAGAAATATGTTCTTTTGGCAGAACTAATGACGTGATCTAAAAATACAAATTCTGCACAACGCAATCGCCTGTGTAATGAGTTTAACACTGTCAGACAAAAAATGAAAACTGTTTCTAGTCAGTCTCTACATGTACTAAAACCGTCTTGAGTTATTATTGCATACAGGATTAAACGTAGAGACATAATCTAGAGTATTCAAAAGTCCCGATAAAGAAATTACAACCGATTAAATGGACTTATATTGTGATCGAGGCCTTCACTTTGATTTTGCGAACGATTTCAGTTTAAAGTTACACTAACAAATCCTCCAAACCTTGAGAGAGAAAACATATTGGAAATTAAACATAACATTTTTCATAACGCTACGTTAAACATGCAATAATAGTGCTTTTGAAAATAAACTAGTTAAAGTCTAGTATAATAACTAGTCTTTCTTAATTTAGCATATATTTTTCTTTCACGAGACAGGAATTCTACAAGAAGTAATAAATACTACTTAAGATATTTTCCGCTAGTGTTTATTGGTTTTGAAAGAGAAAAGGTTTACATGCATGTACCGGCTAAAGACTGTTTAAATGGACAGATTTGCTTAGCTTAACGTATGTACGGTCAAGCATAAAAAGATTAGTTTACTAATTCACAATGGATTTGGTGAAACAAGGCGCATGCCAGATCGGAATAGTGACAAACATAAGGTTATTGCTTAAAGACGCGTGTATTTGGAAACGGAGCAGGAGTGCTTGCTGTTTGTAGACAAGGAAATTTGATTTATCTGATTATAAAAACAAATATAAAACTGTGAGGGAACATCTATAGTATTTGGTAAAATTGGATTTTAAACTGACTGAGTGACTCTTAAAGTGACGTATTAATATTTTTTCACCGGATGGATTTAAATTGAAAGAAGTCTTTGATAGGCAGTTTGTTCAACTTGTTTTGAAGAAATATTAACTTGCCCGACATTAAAATATATTCACCGGTATTTTATAGTGAAAGTAGTGAAAAGTTTAACTCTGTCTTGTTATCGAAAGTACTTATATTCTTGTGATTGTGACAAAATGGCGTCCTGTAGTGCAGAAAAAATATGATATTAATAACTTTTGACCTTGTCACATTAACTTTTATGTGAAAGTGAAATAATTATTATACAACCAGTTATTTAAAAGCGGAGGAAAATTGAAAAAATCTGTTTAGCGGATTGAATGCTAACACTCGACACGGTAACTAATGACTTTATCTTTACAGAAAGATTTCGAAAACGATAAATTCAGTTACAGTTTTTTTCCCAGTTAATTACGTTCTACCGATGAATTATATATACGGGGAATTGATTGAATTTCCACAGACTTAACATTGAAATAAGATGTGGATAGCTTAACACGCCAATAAATCGTTCAAAACTACACTAGGTTGTCTTCAAACCGCACAATATTAAAATAAATAGTGCATTAGAGCGTACGGACAAATTTTAAAAGAAAGTTTTATGATTTATTCTCGTCCCGTGCTAAAGTCCTCTACATGTGGCCATCTTACTGAAGAAAGTTTATAATCCCCTAAAATATTTTTTCCATAGTATTAGACGGATGACAGCAAGTGTATTAAGAATCTATCGAAATATATAAATTGGATTAATGCGAATGAGTTGAATAAGAAAACATACATTGGATTTATGTGTATTCAACGCATCTATGCGAAATAATAGACATGGATATTTGTGCAAAGTAAAAGAGGCTTGGGGAGTGTAAAAAAATCAAATTCATAAAACATAAGCAAAGAGGGGGATAAGTGATTTTGTAATGATGTAGATTTGGGAGTATTATTATGATATATGTAGATACGCCATCAAAATGCATTTACTTAACTGTGAACGGCACTCCTAGAAGATTTTGATTTGATTTCCAACGATTTTGATCCGTCAGACAAAAAAGAAAATCAGAGTAATGAATCGTCTATGTAGTGTTGCAATAGAAAAATAAGACACATTTTCAGGAATACCAAAACGGAATTATTTAGATTCACGTTATGGGAGATATTGTAGATTTGGCAGTCGTCGGAATCACTGAGAAAATCGCCAATTTCAGCGGATTTAGTAATACAAGTAGTGGATATTTTCCTCTTAATACAACGGAAAATATTTCAGTCGTTATAAATGGCTCGACTACGGAAGCGCCTCAGGAACCTACGTATAAAGTATGGCAGCAGATTGTGATTTCTGTGTTACTAGGTGTGTTAATAATAGGAACTATCATAGGAAATTCCTTAGTATGTATTGCAGTGGGATTAGTTAAACGTTTGCAGTCTCCATCTAATTTATTAATAGTGTCACTCGCGTTGTCCGATTTGCTTGTGGCTCTTCTTGTAATGCCATTCTCCGCAATAAATGAGGTATTAGGAGGAAGGTGGCCTTTTAGTGAAACGGTTTGCGATTTGTGGACCTCTCTCGATGTGATAATGTGTACAGCATCTATACTGAATCTGTGCATGATAAGTGTGGATAGGTACTTTGTGATAACAAGACCATTCCAGTATGCCATAAAAAGGACGCCTAAGCGAATGGCTATAATGATAGCGGCTGTATGGTCTTTGGCAGTTATAATATCTGTACCTCCTTTATTCGGATGGAAAACTGAACTCGGACCTGGGGAGTGTCATATAAGTCAAGAGATAGGATATCAAATCTATGCAACATTTGGGGCCTTTTATGTTCCGCTAATAGTGATGATTGTTATTTATTTTCGAATTTGGTTAGTGTCATCTCGGATTATGAAAAAGGAACAGACGTCGAAACTCGGTAGCATAGACAAGGGTAATGAGCATATAAACATGTCTGCAAAATCATCCAGAAGTAGCGGTGCCAGTGATCATTTGAATATTCCGAACGGAAATCTCCATAAGAACGGTTTTACGGAAGCAGACGATGCATCGACGGAAATGCTTCCAACGTCGAAACAAGCAGTTCACAGGAGACGTTTCACATTAAAATCGTTTTTATCGCGGACTAAGAGCACTGGTGGCTCGTCGCGTGAGAGAAAGGCGACGAAAACTTTAGGGATTATTATGGGAGGCTTCACGCTATGTTGGCTTCCATTTTTTATTCTTGCCTTAGTAAGGCCATTTTTAAATGATCCAGACAGTATTCCGTTATGGATTTCGTCCATGTTAATGTGGCTAGGATACTTTAATTCATTTATGAACCCAGTGATTTACGCTCGATTTAACAGAGAGTTCAGAACTCCATTTAAGGAAATATTGTGCTTTCGGTGTCGTGGAATAAATCACAGATTACGTAGTGAGAGCTACGTCGAGCAATACGGGCCTGATCAGATATACAGAGACCGTGATCGTGATAGTTTGAGGCCACCTCGTGATTCCATAGTACGTTATAATAGCCACGGACACACGCACGTGCACATAGGAAATGGTAATTCTAAAATGGGTGAATCCAAAATTTAGAAACGAGGCAGCAATTGGACGATATGTCTTCAATATAGCTTGAATTGTTCAAAGGGAGACAGTGAGTAGCTTTGTAAGCTAAGGCTATGTGTTCGTGCAACGGATGCTTCTTGAAACGGTCTGTGTTCTTTCACGCTGAACGTATAGATAGCTGGTCTCATCTCCAGAGGGTAACATAATAATACCATGAAATGGGTAAAATTTGACACACATATAAATGTGAATAATTATATTTTGTTGTGATTTTCACATTTAGTGTCCATGTTAATTCGTTGTTAAAATATTATTCTTCAGGTTCTGTATATATTTAAGTTATTGTGTACTTGGTGACTTTTAAGTGCTGCTGAAGTTATTATATAAATAATTATTATAATATTATAGACTCGAGATTAGTGAGAATTCGACATAATACTATGAGATTATTAAATAGATTGCACAGTTTTATTTACAATTACAAAATGCAGATATTATGGTGCAGATTAGGCGGTGGTTTAGTTATGGGGGATATTTAAGTAGGGGATTATAATAGAAGAAATCCGAAATCATATGTAGGTCCCGTACAGTCATATACATGTTCTTAGAACACTTCTTGATAAATAATTAATCAATTTTAAGTTAAGTTATACTCCACGTAAGAAGGTTAAAACAATTTTTCTCACTTCAAATATGTTTAATTTTATGATAAAATTTTTAATTTTATTTTTTAATATTTAATATCTCTCACAGCTCAAGATCGAACTAAAGGTACTTAAGCGAGATTTGTTTCCATTGTCACGTGGTACGTATCAAATACGACCACTTTGATTACATTTTAACTGCCATAGTCTGTTCTAAAATATAATAACATGGTTTGTTTTGTAATACAAGACATTTAGACTTTTTCTGGGACGTATTACGTCATGATACTAAAAACTGATAACACAAAATGCATTTTTCCCCAAAAAATTGTGTCATATATTTATAACAAATAAATCATATGTAAATAGATGCATATTAATTATTGAAAACGCTTGTATTTGTATATATAAGAAATCACTTATACATTGTTGAATACCATGTTTTTGTTGTTAGTCGCTTTACGTCATATTAAAACATATGTGAGTCGCCACGTTAAAAGGTCCATAACTTTATATACATATTTAAATACTATAAAAATACATTTTGATTTATTTATTGACCTGACAATGCAATTACATTCATTAAATAATCTGAAACTCCGGAAACATTCGGAATTGTTCGTGTCTTTCCGGGGTAAATTCGGTATTTTCCGCTTTTCTGTTTGTTGTACTGGTCCTCTATAGGATGACTCACACATGTTAATACCACACTAATAGCTTGCCTATGCAGAACCATACCATAGTATTTTAATTGTCTAATATGAAACTATCTTGGTCTTTTTTTCACCCTACAAATAAACAGATTTGCTACAAGTAAAATAGACCTGCTTTCAGTTTAACTATACGTATTTTAAGAAAAAATCTTTTGAGTACAAAATGGTGATGTAAATTTTTGTGTTTTTTGCTAGAATGTGATTATTATACACCAGTCTAGATAAGTAAAATTATTTATTCTATTACTGTAGATGGAATCAATCAATAATGAAGGAAGAACCACACAATTAATAAGTATCAATTAATTAGATACTTACATGAAAATAGCAACCGCTTAATGAACGTAAATATTTGATTAACGAAGGTATTTAATTAATTTAACGAAAAGTGCCAATATGCCATTCATTTTACAAGATTTGTATTAATTATTCGATTTTTAATGAATTAAGCGAAAGGTTTGACCATTTAACGAAAGTATGTACTTATTTCAACGAAACATACCGATATCATGCGAAATGACCCTCTAAAATTCGGTTCGTAAAGTGATAATGAAAATATTTAAATGTAATTTTTGGGGGGTAAAAATGTTAAAACGCTTTGCATTTTTATACTTTGGAAGGTCAGTTTCATATAAGATACTGTTTTATAACATGTAGGTAATCCACGTGTCTTACAAAACATAAGGCAACGTAATATTGTTTCGTAACAAAAGTAATCTCTTTAATGCAGGTTTCCACGTATAATATCTATAACATTAAGGTTTTCCACGACGACTTACAAATAAGAAAATGTGATTTTTTAAAGCTTTTTTTCTTCTTGTTCCTTTCTTCTACCATTTATAATTTAATTGACTTTGAAAACACTGCTGTTCGTGATATGGAATCATGCCCTCTTTTGTTTTGAATATACCATTAATTTTCTAATTTAATTGAACTTTTTTTTTATTTTGCCTACTTTGTTATACATTTTACAGGATAATGTTTTGTTTTCATTTCATAAGAGACACTGTCGATTGGCTTATTCATGTGTATAGTTTGAAGAAGTTGTATCAACTTAATGCCTATTCAAATGTGTTAACAATGCAATATTTTACCAAAGTCCCGACATAATAACTTATAAAAATATAACTGCATGTGTTGATTAAAGGTGTAAGCCTATTGTATTTAGCCTATGCAAAACACAATTATAAAAGCAATAAATTTGTTACGAACTGTATAAATATTTAATTTTTGTTTTGCAATATTATGCACACATGTAAATCTGCTATGTTAGCATTTTTAGAACATCTTTTACAAAATTTAAATAGAATTATTATAAACAATATGACGATATGATACTTTAACAACTGACGTCATTTTTATGATCTCATTTTCATACTTATATATAAATTATCATTTATTTCATCATAAAACGTTACAGAATTTTTTTTTTCTATATAAAATTTCACGTTTTATTAATACGGTATTCAATTTATTTTAAGAACGTTTTTTAAGCGTTGGCCGAAACTTTAACACGATTAAGAAAATAGTGTACAGGCTTTCAAAAATACTATTATATACATGTGGATCTATAACTGAAAACAAAACCTGATCATTCTTAACGGTTGTACTTAATCTTCTGTTCTTTCCATTCAAGCATGTATATACGTACATAACCTTAAACCCGTGCCAAATCCGTATTTTAAAAATAGGCTGTTATTATAAATCTTTTCATTATTAGTAACCGTTTGTAAATGTTTGTAGGGGATAAACCCCGTAATATTATACACTCGCTTTCAAATTAAGTTATTAAAACATGTACATAAAAGCAATCGCCGTATTTTTTACAGTATTTTTTTCTTTTCTCGATGAATGACACTTGCATAGTGTTATACATAAATAAATGACACGAAAACAGTAATCTTAATATCCAAAATTACACGACACTTAAATTGAACATTAGATAAAAGCTTGTGTCGATCACGAGTTATTTCAATAATTGAAAAGCTAAACTGACAACAAATAGAATTAAGTGAAATTTGAAAAAGAAGTATAATTATCATATCATTGGGGAAAAAACACAACGCCCTACTTAAAAACAATATTTTGGACTTGTAATTTCAGGTTTTAAGAACTCAAAAAGAGATATTTTTAAAATGGGTTTGATATGATATGAAATATTGAATAATTCCATAAAGGTGTTTCGAATATTCTTGCATCTCTATTTAATTAATTGTTATTGTGTATATAATTTTTTTAAAAATACAAGATTTCGTATAAAAATATTTCCACAATCATGATAATGCTAATATCAAATGCTAATACACAATATTTTATCGTTGCTTTCTTGTTTAAAGGTTCTAAAGCAAAATAATTCATAATATATCTTTCCCGTTTAAAGCAGCTTACCACTGTATAAATGCCTATTTTAGATCTTATTAATAGTGGTACTGTTGAAATTTAACAACATGTATAACATTTTTATTGTCAAGTGAACAAAAATTAACTTTGGCGGCAATTATAAATATCTTGCCAGTCTCCACTATGGTCTAGAATCCCATCAATGGCTGATTTTTTTACTATCCAACTCGTTATTAGGAAATCAGTGGTTCTTTTTCTGGTGCACGCTCTTGTCCGAAAATATGAAAGAAAGAGGTCAAATTGTTATCAGAAAACTCAGACTTACTAAGGTTTTTCGACATAATGTGACTGGATTTTTTTCCTCAAAATATTTTTACCATTTGATGTTGGTCTGAACCAATTACCTGTTTGCCAATTTTCAGATAATTCCCTCATTCCGTTTGCCCAGAATAAATGTTGTTATTGTGAAAATGATACAATATAAAAATCATAACAACGCTTTTCTGCTAAATTCGGCTAAAATCGCATATAGAATTGATTTTCAATTCAATTCTGGGTATATTTCTTTGTATCCTTTGTAAATTCCAATTTTAGGAGCTTCACTTGATATTTGTAAGATTTTCAAATTTATATCTCTAGGCTTTCAGACCTCAGGGGAGTTCCTTTAAAGGGCAAAAGAAATACGCCGATATATAGTTACAATAGCTAGTTGAAAATAACTCTGTAGATACTACATCTACCCCACCGTGGGTTCATCTGGTTAATCTAAAGCCCAATTAAGAGTAACGATAAATGCATAAGGTATTTCTTACAAATAGTTATAAAGGGTAAATGTATAACATACGTACATAATTGATTCAAACATTAGCGAAATTATCCGATCAGTTGATAAGTTATAATTTAAAACTTACTTTATGTAAACTGCATTGAAAAGAGAATAAACTTAACCTTCAAAACAGAAAACCACTTTTGAAATGGACCCATCACCTTATTCATTGTACCAAATTGCTGCCGCTTTATGTTTTTTTGGTCATAGTCTACAAAAGAAAATGCATTTCCTTCTGTGCACTGAAATCAGTCATCTATACTTCTTTTCTCATTTTTCTTTATTTTTCTAACGTAGTAAGAGACGAATGTTCGTAACATGACACTTGCATATCTGGTCTTAATCTTCATATTACAGCAGTGAAATAACCTTTGTTTAAAGTCTTTTGAACAGATAAAACATTAAAGTTAACTTAGTTCAAACATTGCCTTGTGTGTTGACAAAATGTCGAAGATTTGATTTCATAGCAAAGATTAGCACAATGTATTACAGATTTTAAGTTCCTGATCTTTAGAAACTGCTTGATTACATACCAATTGTTTTATATTTCATTTTATTTTTTATATACTTTTTTAACAATACTATGTATTGCGTTAAATGAAAACTGTAGATTGTTTATAATTTATAATTGAGATAGAAGAAGTTAGCGTTAGAGTTAAGTTGATATTTTACTTTAAAAATGTTATTGTTTTAAAGTAATCTGAGTTAAATCATCCATCTTAAATCTTGATATTGACTTATAATTGTATTTAATATATCTTGGTAAGTTATTGAACAAAATTGCAAAATAGAGTACCCGTAATTCAATGTTTCAAAATAAATCAAGAAAGTTCTGTTAAAAACAAATATATATTTTGATGTTGAGTATTGAAATAAAGAAAGTTCTATCAAAAACTGAAAGCTGAAGTAAAAAATGTGAATAATATTACATCAGTAACTGTATAGCTTAAATCTAAAATATGATAAAACTTACGAAACGATGTATATGTATAAGGTTTATTTGTTATATTATATTATTTTATTAAATTATCAATGTAAAGAAAACCTTTGCATAACGATCGACTTATACTTGTTTTTTATAACAAATATTATTATTGTAATGAACAAAATTGTATTGGAAAATCTTAAGTGTCTCACAAAGGTTTCTGTTTAATCAATTCCTCTTACCATTTATATACAATTATCTTCCCGAGAGAATTCGTAAAAAATGTTATAAATCTGTAAACAAGAAAAAAGACTTAATATTTTATTTTTCATTTCTTTATAGTGAAAAATATTATATGCGAAATAATCAAATAACTATGGTGTCCTGTTTGGGCAATTTAAATGTAGGATTTTACCGCCTCCGTGGTCGAGGGGTTAGAGTCGATGACTTCTAATCCAGTTACCTCTCTGGCGTGGGTTCGATCCCCGAGAGATGCTTTGGTAGTTTAGCGCGGAGGAAGGTAGTCTAGTACTGGTGTAACTCTCCAGGAACGATGGTTAGGAAACTACCCGTCTATATGACTGAAATACTGTTGGGAAAAGACGTAAAATGAAACAAACAAACAAACAAAATGTAGGATTTTAATATTTAAAATATTTAATGTTTAATTTGTAGCATGTTAAACTGGTTAATTCTCGCGTGGGTTTATACTTGCGAGAGAATGTTTTGATTCTCGCGAGGATTAAAGTTAAATGCAAATTAAACGTTATTTCTCGGTATAGTCTCCCCACAATAATATAAAATCTCAATCCTTTATCTATCAAAATAAAAGAAATGAGCAACACATGGGATTTAGTAAAACTTTCGCGTGTTAACAGACTTTATCTTATTAGCCCTAATAGAACAACGTTAATAAACTTTTTATAAATTGATTTTAGACAATAATAGTACATTCTGTATTCCAAAAGTCTTTTATAATAATATACTTGTTAACTTTATGAAGTATTTTTTTTACACAAAAAAGTTATAATTCTGTATTATCAAAGAAGTCATCATCCAATATTTTATCTAATTAATTATGGAAATAATTAGAAACAAGAAATTGTACTTATATAAAAATGAACGTATTTGCAATTTGTTTATTTTCTATTATAAAAGCTTTGCGACTATGTATTAAACAAATCTCTTTTTTTCCAGCCATTTATAATCTGAGTTTGTATTTACTATATAAGTTATTATAATGATGTGATATCATAGCAACAAATTACAAATTAAAGATATAATATAATTGCAAGTTGTCATTGTTTAAATTTTCCATTTTTGGTATATAAAAGTGAATAAATAAACATGAAAAAATGTTTTTTACTCTAATTTCAAACTTTGCATTTTAGTATATAAAAGTGAATAAATAAACATGAAAAATTGTTTTTTACTCTAATTTCAATTTAACTATGCAGTAAAGTTCAACCTTCCCAGAGGTGACCCTCTGTATACCTTTGCTAATGATTTATCACACGGGCGTCATGTTGATACAATTCTATATACTCTTGTAAAAATCATTTTACGTTGTAGCAAGTCACTTCAGTTAAAATGTACAACAAAAAGTATTACACTCCATTTTTTTTAGTTCAGACAACCTTTGAATCTTTCCTGAACGATTAGAAACGACTTTTATATAATTTCTTTGTCTTTGCAATTTTGCATTTTATTTTCATTTGAAATCATTTTAAAACAAACTTCTTTCTTTGCAGGTTTTGCTTTTACATCAACATGTTACAGTTATGTTTTTTTTATGTTGTTAGAGGCCTACAAATATTTATACTGTGTTAAATAAATCTATTGTTATTTTTGCATAGGCCTATTGTATTTATTGATATATAGATTACTGGTCTATTGTATTGTTTATCAGTACATATAACATGTCCAGTTTTTACCTGTACAATGCCATTGCTTTTTAATAAAAACTGTTGATAACAAATATAAAAAATAAATATTGATGACATTTGTCTAGTTTATTGTTTTCTTTTTATGTACGTTTCTATATGCTATTCCATTTTTCTTATATAGCAGCCGCGTCACGACAAAACCAACATAACCAACGCTTACAAACCCTATTACAAGTATAGAAACTGACAGCGACCAGCATGGATCCTGATCAGACTGCGCGGATGCGCAGGCTGGTCTGGATCCATGCTGGTCGCAAACCCATTATGTTGGTTTTGTCATGACGCGGCTCAATTATAAAGGCAAGCAGACCTTTTTTAAAGCACCTCTAAACTTTACCCGTCTCTTTGCCTTCAGTGTTTGCCCACTTATTTAAATAAAACAGCATCAGATATGTAACCTAGGGGTGCTGGTTTGATCTTCGAACGGGGTTAACTTTTCTCGATACATTTGATCTCGAACTATGGGTCTAATGTTTTTTTTGTATCCCACTACTGTTACATATATTATGTGGGATTTGTAGTCGGTCATTTGAGACGAAAATTGTTTTTACCGGTTAGTTATCCAGGACAACCAGTTAGGTAGACCGATCCCTGATATATGACCAATATATGTTGACACCGGCGTAAATATCAAATAAACAAACAGACAGACAAAAAAGCTCAAACTCAATGTTTGAAACGCATCTGCAGAATAACCACAAATGGCTACTCCAACCTTGATGAAGAACAAAGTAATGGTTAGATAATGCGTTTGGTTTATTATTTCAATAATATGTTAACGGTAAAGTTGATTTTATATATACACTTTGCAGTTACTTTCTACAAATACAATGAAAATAAGAGAAAATGTTCAATTTGTTTTACTAAAACATAATAAAATGTCACTCAACATTGCAGTTTTGAACATTCAACTTTGTATATCCAACTGCGGGTCTGAATTAAAACTAAGTTTCTTCTACGAAATTTAAAATTCTACTATAAGGAGATCAATTAGTTTTTTCCAGCAATTGGATAAACCTTGAACTTTTTTCAATACCTAGAAAGCAAATGAGGTTACCACTTTTAGAATTACAATCCGATTATGCATAACCCGGTGGTCTCAAACATTGATTTCAAAATACACGTAAGAACCTTTAACAAATAGAAAACCTGTATCAATACTTAATTTAGATTTCATTCCATTCCAATTCGAAGAATCTACCAAATCTCACAAATCCTTTTATTAGCCAAATGCGCTTAGATGATACATTGGAACTGTATTCTTTAAGAAACAATCCCAGATATTTAAATCTATAAATAGATGAATAATGTATTATTAAGCCAGTATTTTATATAAAGTGTCATGTAAATCATATAATTACAAATTATAACTAATGAAAATTTGCATTTAAAACTCAAGTATCTTGCCCAGTGGACCTATAAGAAACATTGAATACTAAATAAATTAAAAATAACTTGACAACATTTCAAAATTATTATGTTACGATCATAATATTTCTTTGGAATGGCGTGAAATATCAAAAAGTAAAGAAATGATATTAAGTTTGATATATCAAACAAAGCATAAAAAATAGTCTGTGTAAAATGTCATCCCTCGGAAGCATTAATCATGAATATTGCAGACACGGTTTGATTGAGTCTGTACATGAGGGATAATGAAAATATGCAACATCCCGCACGTCCCCTAGCACCGGCTTGAGTAGTACTCAATTTTCAACACAAAAGTGATGGAATCAATGATTCCGAAGGACCAGAAAAATATAACAGCGTTTTAACGTGGATCATGAGCATTATGTTTAAATAAGCAATACTTAAATTTTCCAAATAATTATGTAAAACAATATATAAAATTTATAGATATAATAAGTTGAATTTTGTTGAAATGACTAATCATTTGTTTTCTTCTGACAAGTATGACTAATGTATCGTTTGTAAGAAATACTTCTATCACAACTTAAAATTAATCGATTACGAACTTATACGAAAATATTTACAACAAAAACAAGTTGCACTATTTGCACTTATTGACAAAAACATACAAGAGATTAACTCCGTGCTTACACAGAAAAAACAAACACTGATTTTATAACCTCAAGTGTAAGAAAGTATCAACTGTATATGGACAATTTATTCTGGACTAGAATTTGACATTTGACTTAGAGTATCATTTATTCCTAAATTATATTTAGCTATGATTAAAAAAAACAATATAATCTAAGTTATTTCCCTACATATCTATCTAAAGAGCCTTTCAAAAAAGACTGGATTCATGTTGTCGCCCTTTAATGACGTCATTTGAGGATGAGGCGGACATTGCCTATGCGACAAACCAGCGATGTATCCTAACGAAGAGCTATGAAGATCTTTATTCTTAATCTTATTACATGTTGAAATTTAAATGGCTGAAACTTTGCATGATTGTTAAAGTGCAATTCACTTACAATCTCATCCCAGTTTGTAATTTTTACATTCAAAATTGAATGAGTTATTTTTTCTGCTATGATGTCAGTATTTGTTATAATTTTAATGTTTCTTCTCTGAAAATTCAGAATGCTGTAGGCAACAATTGGCATTCATTAAGAAAGAAATTAATAAAACCTGTTATCAGTTGTGGTGCCAAATAATTATTCGTAAAATTAATACTTTGATTTTGATGATTTCTTTGATTTAAAAAAGATTACTTGAAATTGTAATTACGCTGCAAGTATAAATCCAAGAATTGAACAAAGATTCTATCGTATTATTTGATCTATTTCCGTCTATAAAATTGTAGGAGTAACTTTATATCCTCTAGATTACGTCACAATTCTGCATCTCACAAACACATAAAAATTCCAGAGAAATATTTACAAAGGTTAGCCATACTTTAAATAAAATAGTTTAATCAGCTCAAGTATTACAGTTACAATGCAATAGTGTTACAACTTCAACATACTATGCTCAAAGATACTAGAAAAACTGCTAAGTGATTGTTAAAGCAAGCCGACATCTACTTAAGATTGAAATTTTGAATACATGAGGTATCATTATAAGATACGCGTATAAGTGCAAGCCTTTCCATTTGCTTTCGCAATATAGAATCTTCTCAGAACTGAAGCTGTTGGACATAAAGCATCCAGGCGACCACAAAACATAACCTCAATGTGATAGCGAACTGGACGTACGGTAACACACTAGGCGCCATGTAAACATGAGCCAGGAATTTGGAGACCAAGAACCGCCGAGACAATAGCAAAATAACAAGAATAAAATGCATTAAGTGTTCATTGAACAAGCTTATAATTTTTATTCAGCCAAAGTCTTAATAATTGGCATCAGCGGTCAGATTTGAGTACGTATGGACGAGTGTAGATTGCATACGCTCTCCAAAACATTCAACTTTCAGTTATAATATATAAGTTGATAAATTAATATACTTGTAAATTGTTATATGTTTTAAAGGGTATCAATCTATATCTTTAATAAAATTTATCAACAGTAAAATAAGATTGGTTCCATTATAACATATTGATTCCTGAAAAAAATGTATCATAGAATGTCTCTGTTAATTAATACACATGAATAATGTACGTAAACAGAATAATATGTTCCGGAACAAAATATTATTTTACTATTTTATGTAGGGGTTTATCCGTTTAGCAATGACTTTGTGCATGCACCACTCGCTTTAAGGCAATCTTTTGCCATTTTTATTTCATACAAACATTTTGGAAGCATTCTTTTTTAAAATTCGAAACCAAATTTTTTTTGCATCAGATATATAGCTTTATACACTTTAAATTTGATCATCAGTTACTTGCAGTAAGTCACTTACATTGTTGACTAATTTAATAATAAAAATAAGCGGAACAGAACAGAAATTGTATTTCATTGTATTTGTATATAAAACAATATCATATTATTCATAAAATAAATACCACAATTGTAATGAATCAATATGTGTAATTGTTAAACAATATATTGTAGTAAAAGTAATGATCAGTAACATAACATGGAAAGTGTTTATCAAACACGAAGTTATGGTAGAAAATTCATTACACAAAATTCTTGACAATATGTTTATTTCATTCTTGATTGAACTGTGACTGTTTTGTGCTTATTCAACAACAGTTAACTTAGGTTTCGTGCGAAGTTTCGAAACCTTCATTAAAAATTTATTTCATCCGAGGATAGTGCATCAAAGTTTGAGGTATGTCCGAAGCTGTAAGGAAATAAAAATAATTGTAGTCTACGTAATGACTTGGCACATTGCACATTGCAGCGGCAGAAAAAAGACTTAAACATATTGTGATAAAAGGAAGAGCACTCTTTAATCCTTTAAAATAATTATATTGTTCTTTCTGTCATCATGTAGTCACGTATAAACTATTTAAATGCAGATATATTAACATGCCAACAAAGCGCCTTTTCCTGTTAATAATATTTTGAGATAAAGTGATAGAAGGGAAAAGAAAATATTGTAATACTTGTCAAATGGAACGTACACACATATGCACAAACGACGTACACACTATAGCAAATTATCAATAAATACACATATAGCGATAGTGCTGAAATTATTTTATAAAGCTTTGCTTAATCCTACTATTTCTTATCAAGAGTAGAAAAGGAAGGAAGAAACATGGCGACACGTGTAAGCACAGCGAAACCATGGAGCTACAGGGGTATCATACTTTGGACATTTGAATGCCAGACGTTGTGACGTTAACATGGTTAGGAGAATCTAAAAGCTGTCAAAATTGTAAGATTGCAAGAAATCGTGGTATAACTGTATACTATTTGGCCTTGAACTGATACAATTAATTCGCTTTGGACAAAATTAATATCAGCCTCGTCTGAAAATTTCCACCAGAATCATTGACTCCGTTCGTTTAACTGGAATGCAATATATTTCTTAAAGGTCAATTCTATACACATTGTGTAAATAAAAATATCTCAAAGCTTACAGGTGATTTGCCGTGACAAACTGTCTGTACATTTCACTTTCTTTAAAAAATTAAATTAGTCCTTCAATAATGCGAGGATGCTTAGGGCATCACAACATTATATTCGTAAGAAATAA